TGTGTGTGTGTGTGTGTCTGTGTCCAGGTGTGCGACAGGTGAGGCGTGGCAGGAGATCATGTTGGCGAGTCTTCCGGGGAAACGCTGCGATCCAGAGTCCGACTACGAACCGGGAGAAGAGTTCAGCTGCGGCAGCAACTTCGCCATCGTCTACTTCATCAGCTTCTTCATGTTGTGTGCTTTTCTGGTCAGAACACACAAACACACAAACAAACAAACAAACACACCTGTAAACATGTTGAACTCGTTGAGTCGTTCAGATTTTCCTGATCGAGCTGCAGGTCACTCATGATACCTTCAAGGACACGTGGAAGGTTGAACATCCGATGATTTTTATTTTCTGTTTTTACGGTTTCTGGCGGATCACTGATGTCGTGTTTGTGATTCCTGACGGTTGAAATTAAAACCATAAAACATAAAACAACTTTCCTAGAATTACTCAGAGTTTGTCCAAAATGATTGAAAAGTGCTGAAAAAAAAAAAGTCAAACTAGTTGAAAAGTGACTCAGACGACATGAGCAGTAAAGACGGCGCTGTAGACACACAGATGTTGGATCTGGTCGCCTCCGTCCAGATGTTCACGGCTGCTGTTCCTCCTCAGATCATCAACCTGTTCGTCGCCGTCATCATGGACAACTTCGACTATCTGACGCGTGATTGGTCCATTCTGGGGCCGCATCACCTGGACGAGTTCAAGAGGATCTGGTCCGAGTACGACCCCGAGGCCAAGTAGGCAGCACCAGTCATCTCATCTTCATCCCTTCATGTTCTCATCTTCATTCCTTCATGTTCTCATCTTCATTCCTTCATGTCCTCATCTTCATTCCTTCAGGTTCTCATCTTCATTCCTTCATGTCCTCATCTTCATTCCTTCAGGTTCTCATCTTCATCCTTTCATGTCCTCATCTTCATTCCTTCATGTTCTCATCTTCATCCTTTCATGTCCTCATCTTCATTCCTTCAGGTTCTCATCTTCATTCCTTCATGTCCTCATCTTCATTCCTTCAGGTTCTCATCTTCATTCCTTCTGTGAGTCGACGTGAACTGAAGGGAAACAAACAAAACCAGGAAACAACAGTAATCATCATTTAAACCTGAACATAAACACTTTCTTCATTGTGTCCTTTATCAAACCGACTGTCTGCTGTGTGAACCTCATCAATCAGGACTCTCACCTTTTAATTAACCTCATTAACTGGTACCAGTGACTCAGAGTGGAACTGGGAACCCTGGACTGGTCTGAACTGGATGGAAGCTTCCTCAGGCCCACATTTATAAATGAGTTTTGCTCTGAAGTGGATTTTGTTGCAGCGTTCACGGAGCTCATTTAGACCTGAGCGGAGTCTGGCTGCAGCAGATCAGATGTTCATCAGCTGCAGTGAGATCTGTGTGTGTGTGTGTGTGTGTGTGTGTGTGTGTGTGTGTGTGTGTGTGTGTGTGTGTAAATATTTGATAGCTTCAGCTTCGTGTGTGAAAACCTTCAGATTATTACAGGAATAAATTTGGAGAGTTTGTTGAATGTAGAAGCTGAGATTAGAGCAGAACGAACACGAAGGCTGTGAAATAGAATAAAATATCAGAAACGTTTCCAAGAACATGAAGGAAACATTCAAATATTATATATATAATATAAAGTCCTGAAAATTAACAAGGCAGCAGAATGTTTAATAAAAAATGTTAAAATGTCCCCAAAATATGTGAAAAACTGATAAAAGGGGCAGAAATATTTTAAAATTCTTTTAAAAAATAAAAATGTAGAAAATGTTTTTAGAAAAAGAATCTAAAATATTATTGGAAGTCATAAAAATAATAATAAAATGTGGAAAAATAGTAATAAAATATCTTCTAAACTCCTTAAACATTTAATACATGATGAAAACATACAGACAAAATAAAGAACTAAAAACGATTCATGAACGAACCTGAAAACATTGAGAATATAAACAGGTTCCAAGTTAAATGTTAAATGTTCAGATTTATCAGAGACGGAGGAAAGAAAATGTCCAGAGATGTTTTTAAAAATCCTGAAAATTAAAAAAAAACTCCAAAAATGACAGAAAGTTATAAATAAAACTGAAAAAAATCACTCAAAAATGTTTGAATTTTGTTTCAATGAAGCATAATGTCGGTAAATGTGCATGAAGTTAGAGCAGACAAAGCAAACGCCTCACTGAGCATTCTGGATGTTTTCTTTCCCTTTTTCTTTTAAAACTCCAGAAACAAACGTCTTATCTTTCTGCCCGTCTTCTGTCCTCAGAGGTCGGATCAAACACCTGGACGTGGTGGCTCTGCTCCGGAGGATCCAGCCTCCTCTGGGCTTCGGGAAGCTCTGTCCTCACCGAGTGGCCTGCAAGGTAAAGCCGGCCGGACCGGCTGCAGCTGCTGCTGCTCACAGTTAAAGTGTTGTTTCACCTGGAAGTGACGCTGCTGTCTGTCTGCTGCAGCGTCTGGTGGCCATGAACATGCCTCTGAACGCCGACGGGATGGTGACCTTCAACGCCACGCTGTTCGCTCTGGTCCGCACCGCCCTCAAGATCAAGACCGAAGGTAGGTGACGGGTCCTCGGGCAGAGCTGTGTGCAGGACGAACACAAGGAGACGTGAAAATTCACCGCAAGAAGACCACAGACACACATAAGAGCAACCAGAAGGACCTCAAGCAATTATAAAATGACTAAACTAAATGGACACAAAGACACGAAATGAGTAAGATTTAATACAAAATAGCTACAAATGGACGTACAATGATTAAATGTGATGCAACAGGACGACAAGAAGACACAAAATGACCCAAAAGTGAAACAAAACGACCACAAAAAGACGTAAAATGACAAGAAGTTAGACCAAACAACCAGGAATGACCACATAGAATGACCACAACACCACAGAGATTTAAAAAAACAAACTGACACAAAACAACCACACAGAGATTTAAACAACCAAAATGACATAAAATACGTAAAATTATTAAAATACAACAAAACAACAACACAGGAAGTAGCCCAAAGACGACTAAATGACCACAAAAAGATGCAAAACAACCAGAACTTAATGCAAAACGAGCACAAAGTGACGTGAAGTGACCTCAACAACACAATATGATCGAAAGTGACACAAAAGAACACAAATGACTGAAATGTGATATAAAAATAATCTCTGACAAAAAACACCGACACAAAATGATCTCAACATACGAAAAACAACAAAAACATGACAGAACGACCACAAAAGGAGGTAAAATGACCACAAAGACACAATAAAAAACCAAAACTGACGCCTAAAAGACGTAAACAACCAACATTTAATACAAAACATCTGCAAACTCACATGAAACGACTGAAATGTTTGATCCTTGTTCGGAGCTAAAACAAACCAGCTGCTGTTTAAGTGCCAACCTTCGGTCTGACTCCGCCCCCTGGATGCTGTTGCTAGGTAACCCTGAGCAGGAGAACGAGGAGCTGAGGGCGATCATCAAGAAGATCTGGAAAAGGATGAAGCCGAAGCTACTGGACGAAGTCATCCCGCCTCATGAGGGTACATCCGGTAGTACGCGTAGTACTTCTACTGCACACACTGCTGATAGAACGCAGTACTGATACTGCTGGTACTGCAGTACTACACGCTGAGCTGTGCTCTCTCCTGCAGAGGAAGAGGTGACCGTTGGCAAGTTCTACGCCACCTTCCTGATCCAGGACTACTTCAGGAAGTTCAGGAAGAGGAAGGAGAAGGGAGAGATGCCCGGAGAGTCGGACTCGGCCAATCCCTCAGCCATACAGGTGAGCCACAGGTTTAGCTGCCATACAGGTGAGTCACAGGTGTAGCCGTACAGGTGAGTCACAGGTGTAGCGGCCATACAGGTGAGCCACAGGTGGAGCTGCCGTACAGGTGAGCCACAGGTGTAGCCGTACAGGTGAGTCACAGGTGTAGCTGCTCTACAGGTGAGCCACAGGTG